ACATATGTAGCTAAAGATATGTGGACATATGTAGCTAGAGATATGTGGATATGTAGTTGGAGATATGTGGACATATGTAGCTAGAGATATGTGGACATATAGCTAGGGATATGTGGACATATGTAGCTAAGGATATGTGGACATATGTAGCTAGAGATATGTGGACATATAGCTAGGGATATGTGGACATATGTAGCTAAGGATATGTGGACATATGTAGCTAGAGATATGTGGACATATAGCTAGGGATATGTGGACATATGTAGCTAAGGATATGTGGACATATGTAGCTAGAGATATGTGGACATATAGCTAGGGATATGTGGACATATGTAGCTAAGGATATGTGGACATATGTAGCTAGAGATATGTGGACATATAGCTAGGGATATGTGGACATATGTAGCTAAGGATATGTGGACATATGTAGCTAGAGATATGTGGACATATAGCTAGGGACATGTGGACATATGTAGCTAAGGATATGTGGACATATGTAGCTAGAGATATGTGGACATATAGCTAGAGACATGTCCACTATAACTATAGAGGTCTAAAGATGTAGAGAATATCTTCAAATTTGCAGAACTAGAGATTAGGATGACTTCAAGGTTAAATAAGTAGGGACCTGATATGATGTGGATGTAGTTCACCTAGTAGTTTACCACAACCTAGGGACCTAAATGTAGAAACATACCGTCATATATCAAGCTACCTAGGAGCCTAAGAATCCACAAGGATCTGATGTGAAGGATATCTCCAAATTTGTCTCCCTATATGAATCACCCTGTACCTATAACCTATAACCTCACCTAACCTATATACCCATAACCTATAACCCTACAACAGTGTAATCTGATCAGAGGAACCCAGAATTACAAATCAAATAATAAACATGACCCACCAAGGCCAAGAATCATAGGGTTCTGCTGTCCCAGGTGTGGTTCCAAAACGCGCGCGCGAAATGGCGGCGGAACATGATGCGGCAGGAGGGCAACACGACGAGCAGCAACGTCGGTTGTCCAGGTACACCGGTCCCGTCGAACACAGCCGGTTCACCAAACGTGGGACCGGCAGCCAGCATCCTAGGGGACAGCAACAGTATGCCGTCAACCTCGATGGAAGAGCTGCACGCTCTTCACCACCTACATTCCGGCGTTTCCTCTCAGGTCTCCTTCTCCGATCTTTACTGACGACGGCTTGAGATGGAGGAAGACAGCTACAGCAGCCTTTCCAGCCATCTTGCATGAAGGATCCTTTCGGATCGACGCGTTGTCCTTCGGGAGAAACTACGTTCGCTTTACTTTTCGTTTCCTTCTTCGCGACGTTGATCGTTCGAGACCTTCTCTTGCGTTCCAGGCTCTCCTGGACAGCGCCGAAAACTCTGACCGAGATCGTTCTGGTGAGTAGTCGCGGGGAGTCTTTTTGGACGGAGGTTAGGTTAGGAAGATTTGTGAACTTGAAAATTAATTCAAGCTATGTGGGTTTGAATAAAATAATCGAGGGGTGGACACATGGAGGACAGTTAGGTAAAGGATATGGTACTTGTGTCCATCGTCCATTTTGTTTAATTAATATTAGCTAGGCAAGACTTGTGTCCATCGTCCATTTTGTTTAACTGATGCTGGGTAAAGAACATAAGACTTCGTCCATCTTGTTTAACTAACATTATTATGTTCATTTTGTTTAACTATTCAAGAATCATAAGACCAAAAGATCATATGTTGATCCACTTGTTGCCTATCCTTCACCTAAATGATCCTTCATATTTTACCTTAAGAAATAAATGACCCTAGAAACTTCAACGACTGTCACGTGGGTTATGTAATGTCTAAGAGTGGAAAGAGAAATATGGAAAGCGAATGTTCACCAGGAAGTTCATCGAGGCTCTAGATCTCTATGACCAGGCGAAAGCCAGCAACAGCGTTTCAGCTGCGACGGATTATGTTTAAGCGATCAGTGATAATAATCATAGTTCCATGCACATCCGAATTACCAAAGGTACTAGGCGATAGTTTGTCTCGTTAGCGAGACCGCGAGATCGTCACCGTGGACAGGAAGATGGCGGACTGCGGAACGCAAGATGGCCGACTGCGGAACGCAAAATGGCGCGTCGATTAATATTTGTTGCTATAAAAAATGAATGAAACGTGCTTACAGTAAAATTAAGGTGCGTTTTGCCCTCTGCCCGCGGTAACGAGCTCGCGAGCTGCTTCGCTCCTCTTCTTTAGTCGAAATCGAGTTACGATAACATTTTTTGATAACGCGAGTAGCGATATACGGACTAGAGAATCGCGAACGAACGACAGGTGTGTGGTAAAACGGCGTTCCTCTCCTCGTGCCAAAAATATACTAAGATGCGAATTTCTCTTCCTCTTTTTTTATAATGCCCAACGAATCCAAAGTCGATGGCGATTTCATACACGAAATTTTCTTTTTTATTAATTTAATAAATACGCTTTTACTTGCTGGTGTAAGAGAAATTTTTTTAATTAGAAAACCATGGTTTTTGGATTCGATTGAGACACACATGTTTGACCACTGACGGACACGAAACGTGTATATTAAACGAACACGCAAATTCAAGAAATTTCAAGGATAAAACTTATCTGGGTTTATATGTTCAATTTGTATTAAATGACTCTTTGTTCAAATTATTACAATTATTTATAAATTTAATAAATAACCCTCCCCATTACAATTATTTATAAATTTAATTGTTTACAATAATGATAATTTATTTTGTTGCTACGTAATTAACTATTAACTAGTCAATACATTAAAATAGCAGGGACAAGAGAATGATAACAACTTGTTCAGAGATCTTTTCACGTCTGTAGGTCCTTTATTTTCCGCTACAGTAGAAATCAAATAAATGCCACAAAATGTGTGCTGTCAACCCACGAGTTGGCGCGTGATTTTGAGTCATTTTGACTATATAGACACCGTCGATCTTTCAAAATATTAGGACCTTGCAATATGTCCTATGGACCATATGTACTGCAGACAAACCAGGAGCTGGCGCATAGGAGGCGGGCCCAGGAGTACCCATGGCCCCCATTGGTCAGAATAGATAAATGGCCTTGCACGTATTTTCGGTATTGGTTCCGTCACTAAAAATTCATACAGAACATGTCATTTAAGACGTTACGTTCTGTCAGAGATGCCAACACATCTAAATGAACACCGTCGATCTTTCAACGTGTTAGACCTTGCTACATGTCCTGTGGACCATACTGCAGTCAAACCAGGAGCCGGCGTAGGCTGACCCAGTAGGACTATCCCAATTGGTCAGAATAGAAAAATGGCCTCACACGTATTTTCGCCGGTATTGCTCGCGCACAATTGAGTGAAAGAACAAGTCAGGCAAACGTTTCGAGTAGTCACTATGGAACGTCACAAAACGTCACATGGGACTGTTCTACGTTGGCGTCCCTTAAACCTGGCTCCACGCGCCAGGAACAGGGTTGTCTACAGTACATACCGTAGTCGAGCCAGGAATTGGCGCGTGGTGGCTGAGCCAGGTTTGGAAGGACCCAATTGGTCAGAAGAGAAATGCCTCACACTTTCGGTATTGGAAATTAGGCGAAAATGACAGGCTATAGTGCGAATTGCTGCAGTTTGTCAAAATGTAACTGTAAGGCTTCTTTTCTCACGCGCCAACTCGTGGGTTGGCATCTCTATATTTCTTTGTACCATACAGTTTTATATACAGCGTTGTTGTAGTTTGCGAATTTATCAAAATAAACACTCCGGGATAAATACCATTATCCCGAAAAGTGCTCTTAAATGCCCAAAAGTTGTTAATTGTTGCATAAACTGTTAGTTCATATGGAGGTTCAGATCATTTTTTAATATTCCCGTTTTAATCCGCGCGTAAATTAATTCGAGCATATAAACCCAGTTGTTTCGAGAGCGAATGTGTGGCAAAGTGATGGAAAATCGAAAACGATCCAATCGACATGTACGTGAAATGATTCCTACATTTTCAAGAAATTTATTTGTAACGAACGAACTTATAATTTTTTAAATAGTAGAGATATTTAGCGATGGGACACTTTTTTAAAATATACAGGATGTTTCAAAATTGTAAGTGATCATTACTGTAAGACTCTTTAAGACTGTAAGATTTTAAAACTCTCTAAGACCGTAACACTCTATGACTCTTTAAGACTCTTTAGGACTCTAAGACTCCCTGATGAAACAGAAAAAAAATTAAACCTTGAACTCTAATGTCAAAGTTAACTTTGTGATTTTCCAAATTTTTTAATTTAGCTACTTCAACATTTCCTTCATACATCTTCATCAAATACAGAGAAGTACTATAACAAACATAATAATCATAGGATACAATTTTGAAACAACCTGTAGAATGACACATCACCCGAAATCAACTCGATTAATCTCATCGATAAAGGATCCAAATAAATTTTTCGCCTTTCCACATTTTGCAACACAAGAACCCCAAAAACAGCCACGACGATCGGCCAACCAATTAATTCGCATTTAGTCAGCGAAGTGGCAGAACAGTCGCGTGTTAGGCATGTGTAGCATAGCCATGATTCAATGTACGTCAGCGTCTTAAGAAACATAAAACGAAAAAAAAAGGAGTGAACCAATTATGTAAAACTGTATAGATAAAAATTAATGTGCTGCATTCGAGTGCGACTATTATCGTATAATAAATAGTTACGTACATCTGGACTTTGGAAACCATGATTTTTATTATTGATTGCCTCCTATGTGTTGTTCCTCCCAATTTACCTCCTGTGGACAAACTGACCACTTACGTTCATTACATATTTCCTTTATGGGACTTTGTAAGGTTGAAACTTTCATAGTAAAAACTTTGGAAAGTTGGAAGTTTGCAGTGATAGAACTTGGGTAGGTTCAAACTTTGTATGGATGTAACTTTGGCATGATTGAACTTGGGGGTTGACTCTTTGCAAATTTAAAACTTTGGAAGGTTAAAACATTGGAAGGTTCAAACTTTGAAAAATTGCAACTTTGGAATGGTAGAACTTTGGAAGGCTGAGCCTTGTAAAGTTAAAACTTTGTAAGGTTAAAACTTTGGAATGATAGAACTTTGGAAGGTTGGAACCTTGTAAAGTTAAAACTTTGGAAGGTCAAAACATTGAAAGGTTGCAACTTTGGAATGATAGAACTTTGGAAGGTTGGAACCTTGTAAAATTAAAACATTGGAATGACAAACTTTGAAAGGTTGAAACCTTGTAAAGTTAAAACTTTGAAAGGTTGCAACTTTAGAATGATAAAACTTTGGAAGGTTGGAACTTTGCAAAGTTAGAACTTTGGAAGGTTAAAACATTGAAAGGTTGCAACTTTGGAATGATAGAACTTTGGAAGGTTGGAACCTTGTAAAGTTAAAACTTTGGAATGATAGAACTTTGGAGGATTGGAACCTTGTAAAATTAAAACATTGGAATGACAAACTTTGAAAGGTTGAAACCTTGTAAAGTTAAAACTTTGAAAGGTTGCAACTTTAGAATGATAAAACTTTGGAAGGTTGGAACTTTGCAAAGTTAGAACTTTGGAAGGTTAAAACATTGAAAGGTTGCAACTTTGGAATGATAGAACTTTGGAAGGTTGGAACCTTGTAAAGTTAAAACTTTGGAAGGTTAAAACTTTGAAAGGTTGCAACTTTGGAATGATAGAAATTTGGCAGGTTGGAACTTTGCAAAGTTAAAACTTTGGAAGGTTAAAACTTTGGAATGACAGAACTTTGGAAGGTTGGAACCTTGTAAAGTGAAAACTTTGGAAGGTTAAAACTTTGGAATGATAAAACTTTGGAAGGTTGAAACCTTGAAAGGTCAAAACTTTGAAATGATAAAAATTCAGAAGCTTGTACTTCTGTAATATTTTATTTCATAAATTCCATAACCCACCATTTCCCAAAAACAGTTCACCAAAAATACAAAAAACCATCATTCTCCATATCTCCCCAAATCCCCAAAATCTCCTTCGAGCACGCATCCATCACCCCAAAACAACAAGAAATGCAAACACAACCAGAAACCTGCAGTCCCAGAAATCTCCGGTTATCGACTCCAATCAATTCTCCGTTAATTAATTCGCAGATCAGGTCCCGCAGCAAAAAGACATCGCAACCATCTGTTGAACAAAGTTAAAAATCTGCGGACAGTAATCTCTGCCAGTCCCATGAAACGTCGATTTTATTCGTCCTCGTTTCATCTTCTCCAAAATATCTCTAACATCCTCTCTAGAACGGCGCACAATTCGCCACACGCCTCGGAGAGCAAGTGCGAGTTCTAATTAGCATCGAATTAGGTATTTAAGGATTTCGCGTTCGTGCGTGAAGAAGTCGAAGAAAAGAAGAAGAAGAAGAAGAGGAAGGTCGAGGAATAAAAAGAGGATCTACTTAGGGGTTATACCAACATCTCTCGTGTAAATTGTAGAGGCCCAAGTCGTATAAGTGCGGCAACACGGTATATATGCCACGGTTCACCGTACGGCGTACATATATTTTGTCGGCGCTCATATAAGTTAATTTTCAATCTATATGCGGGTTCGGATGGCGCGCGGCGACTCATCAACGAAATGAAGAAATTGAGGCTCTCGTTAATATTTAATGAGCGCCAGAAAGGATACAATGGTCGGCCGTGCCCAGCGAGGCCTCGAAATATCACCTACGTGCGGGGTTTGTACCGGGTTGTATGCGTGCTGTAAGTCTTGGAGACAGTTATTGTTTACGGGGACAATGGGGTTGGGGTTTGGGTGGAGGGAGGGGAATTTCTTTTGAGGTGGAAAATTTGAGAGGTTCGAAACACTGGAAAATAGGAATTTGAGAGGTTGGAATATTGGGAGAGTTTCTGGGAGGTTAGGGACTTGGGAGATTGGAACTTTGGGTGATTATAACTTTACAATTTGGGGACTTTGGAAGGTTCTAAGTTTGGGTGGTTCAAACTTTGGAATATAGAGACTTTGGAAGGTCAAAAATTTGGAATGATAGAACTTCGGAAGGTTGAAACTTTGCAAAGTTAAAACTTTGGAAGGTTAGAACTTTGAAATGTTGAAACCTTGTAAAGTTAAAACTTTGGAATGACAGAACTTTGAAAGGTTGAAACCTTGTAAAGTTAAAACTTCGGAAGATTAAAACTTTGAAAGGTTGCAACTTTGGAATGATAGAACTTCGGAAGGTTGGAACCTTGCAAAGTTAAAACTTTGGAAGGTTAAAACTTTGGAAGGTTGGAACTTTGCAAAGTTAAAACTTTGGAAGGATAAAACTTTGGAATGACAGAACTTTGAAAGGTTGAAACCTTGTAAAGTTAAAACTTTGGAATGTAGAGACTTTGGAAGGTTAGAAATTTGGAATGTTGTAATAAGAGAAGGATGGAACTTTGGAAGGTTGTAATATGAGAAGGCTGGAACTTTGGAAGGTTAACAATTTGGGTGATTCAAACTTTACAATGTGGG